TCAGAGCTTAAGCATGCTAAAATATGGACAAAAGCTTCTTAGAGTTGAGCCTAAAACATGCCAGAATGATGATCAAAAGCATGATACACATTAGGCTAGTAAATGGAAATGCACTATAAGTGCATGGGGCATGCATGGGGCTATCAAACGAAACCTTAACAGAGGTATATCATGGCAAAACAACACCAAAAACATGCTGAGATAGACTCAAAACATGCTAGAAAGACATGCTACTTCGTAAAGCACACAAAGCTAGTTTATGAGGATTACACTACAAGTGTAAATAGCATGCATGAGGTGACAAAACCAAATCAAAATAGTGGTATTCCATATCAAAATAACCCCAAATACATACTAAGATGGAGCCAACATAAGCTTAACAAACATGCTCAAACATGGGGCATACAAGGCAAGCATACAAGATACAAGGAGATGGGATGACCCTCTTCTATTTGGGACCTCAAAACACAAGTTTTACCATTGAAAATCTATTGGATTTCAGTGGTTACAATGCCAAGAGAAAGTGATCTCAAGGGCCTAAGTGATGGTGTAAAACAAAGCCAAAATAAGGCACAAGATGGGGTAGACCACCCCTAATACAAAAGAGACCTTAAACAAACATTACAAGTATGCAAAATCAAAACTTTTTGTAGTAGAAAGTCAAGCCAAAATAAGCATTCAAATAGGTACAAAAGCTTAATAAAAAACAAGGGATTAAGAGGTTAGAAGCTCACCGTTGTAGAACCAATTTAGAGCAATAGCTCTAGCAGCTTTTTTGGATCAAAACCAGTCCAAAAACTCCAAAACCAACCTCAAAGGGCCTCGACAACAAAAGGGTGGTGTTTGAGTGTGTGTTTGTGTGCAATAGTATGGAAAAACTACACTTTCAAGCACAAAAATGAGACAGAGAGAGATATAGAGATAGATGTGTATCTATAGCTCAAGCCAACTTTTCTGAACCTAAAGCAAGAGGGAGGAGGTTCCCTCTTATAGAAAAGCAAAGTTCAAACTTGTTGAACAAGCTTAAGGCTCTAAGCCATCCCTCCATACAGTGCCTTCCAACTGGCACAACTAGCAAGAAAAGATCTTCAGGAAGCTGAAGGAAAGATGCCGACTAGTTGAAGTAGTCGACCAGCTACTTTTTCTGGTCTGCAAGAAGAGCAAGTGGTCGTCAAGTGGCTGGCAAGGCCAAAAAGTGGCTGTCAAGTGTCCATATTGAAGTCCCAGAAGTAAGCTTTCCAATGGCACCAGCCTTGCATCAAAATTCAAACTATGCAAAAAGTTATGCTTGTTTCGGTGAAGTCGCGCAATTTTGATCCAACTGGATTGATGCCCTACTTCAACCGACCATATCTCCCCCATTCGGACTTGTCTTTAGGAGATTCTTGAGTGAAAAATGAAGCCCCGGAAGTAAGCTTTCCAATGGTGAAGGCCTCATAGCTGAAATCCAAGTATTCAAAAGGATAGGCCTGATTTAGTGAGGGCTGCTTGATTAAAAAAACCAGCTGGCCGACCAGAAAACTGGTTGGCAGGCACAAAAAGTGGTCTACAGGGGGAAACTGGTCTACACCCCTGTTTCAACCTCCAGGCAAAGGAAAACAAGGTTTGGTTCAAAACCAAACCAAAAAGGAAGCAAGATAAAAGTCCGCGAGACAAGACACGCAGCCAGAAACCCCGAAAACTAGTCTACAAGCACAAAAAATGGTCTACGAGAGGCAAAAGTGGTCTACAACCACAAAAAGTGGTCTACGAGACCTCTGTGTCCCTCTAGGAAAAGGCAACAAGGCATGGTTCGAAAACCAAGCCAAGAGGAGAACGTTAAGTGGTCTCGAGACAAGGTGCGTGACCGAAGGGTCTGAAAATCGAAAACTAGCCTCCAAGAAGAGAAAGTGGTCTACGACCATGAAAAGTGGTCTACATGACCTCTCCCTCCCTCCAAGGAAGGGAAACAAGGCTTGGTCCACAAACCGAGCCAAAGCACAAAGAGTTTAGAGGCCCGGAGGCAAGGCACTCAGCCGAAAAACTCTAGAAACTCGAAACGAGCACAACATGCACAATCACCGAGCGCTCAATCGATGACGTCTGAGTCTTAAGGTCGGTCAAAAATTGGGTGTCTACAGTCTTGTGGTTATTATTTTGCCTATACATATATGTGAAGTTGCTTTGTGTGCTTCCCTATATTTGTTATTTACTACCTGATCTTATTGCTTTAAACACTGTAAGATAATTAAACCATAACTTTAAGATTGGTTGATTACACTAGAGAATTGCCTTCATAATTAGACTCCAACTTATGCCTCACCCTGCACTATGAATAAAAAAAAAAAAAATAGCAAACCACGCTCGAGCCAACAGCTACACCGAGACAAACGATAACACACAAGCTCGCGAGCAATAACGCAATAAGAATGAAGTATCATGTATTGAAACCCTAAGAATGGACCAATACCCGCGACTGAAATCTTGAGCCACATTGGAAACGAGATTCTGGAACAATTGGGTCAATTGAAAGGGAAAATGCAAGAACGGTCGAATGGAGCTAGACCCTACGATCAAAGGAAGAGGATGAAGACTCGTTAGTAATTAGAGGTAACATCATACTCTATAATTCTAGGGTTTACGCTCTATTTGATTATGGCGCACCATTTTTTTTTATTTATAAAAACATCATGTGTTAAATCGTTAGGTCTTACATGTGAACCTTTAAAAACTACCTTCAGTATCGCATCACCTTTGGGAGGAAGTGTCAGTGCGAATTAGAAGTGTTAGGTTTACACTTGATTTGTGACCTTATGGTTGGGGACATGTTTGATTTAGACATAATCTTAGGTATGGATTGGCTATTTTCCCGCTAAACGGTGATTGATTGCTACCAAAAGAGGGTGACGACTTACACACCTGATGGGAGGTGTTTCCAATTTAAGGGGGATAGAGAGGAGTCTCTAAGCATGACAAATTGTAACATGTGGTGGCATAATCAACTTGCTAGGTGTTCTGGTTGAAGGAAGTCAAATTTTTGGGACACATAGTGTCTGAGCATGCGATTATAGTGGACTAGACCAAGGTAGAAGTAGTATTAAATTGGAAGCAGCCAACCTCATTATTCAAAGTTCATAGTTTCTTAGGGTTGGCCGATTATTACTGACGGTTTATTCACGATTTTTTTTAAAAAAAAACTGGCCAAGCCGATGACTTGTCTAGAGCAAAAAAGGATAAAATATGATTAGGATAAAGCATGTGAACGATCCTTTCAAGAACTCAAGAGAAGATTGACTAGTGCCCATACTCATCATTCCTGAGCGAGACGAAGGATATACAATGTATTGCGATGCGTCTAAGGATGAGCTGGGTAGTGTGTTAATTCAAAATGAAAAGGTGGTGGCTTACGGCTCCACGCAACTGAAACCGCATAAAAGGAATTATTCGACACATGATCTGGTGCTGGCATTGATGGTTTTTGGCTAAAGCAATGGCATTAATATGGTGAACAGTTTGAGATTCTCACGGATCATAAGAGCTTGAAGTATTTGTGCACACAGAAGGACTTGAAGATAAGACAAAGACGGTGTTGTATCTTATTATCCTGGCAAAGCTATTGTGGTGACAGATGCCCTAAGTTGCAAGAACCAGGGGATTATTGTTAGCCTGGCACTTAAGGAATGGAACATGGTCGGAACACTTAATGAGTTCGGGGTACAGATGAAAGCTTATGACGAGAAGGTATACCCTGGTGCTCAAATCGCTATGCCCAAATTACTGAACAAGGTAATAGAGTCACAGAAGTATAATCAGGAGGTGGCGTGCATAAAAGCGCGAATAGCGTCCGGCGATCGTATACCTGATTGGACAATTCACTCGGATATAAGTTTGAGACATCAAGGCAGTGTGTTTGTGCCATAAGATGAGTCGCTTAGAGAAAAAGTTCTGAAAAAGTTCCATCATTTGTTGATTGCAGTGCACATAGGAGGGACAAAAGTGTACCAAGACTTAAAACACTAATACTGGTGGAACAAAATAAAGAAACTACAAAAAAAGGTGGAACTTATTCGACAAAGATTGGTAGAAACTCAAGATCGTCAGAAGGGTTATGCAGATAAAGAAGACCTCTAACTTTCATTGTCGGTGATGTTGTCTTGAAAATTCAGCCCTGCTGAGGTATCATTCGTTTTGGAAAGAAAGGAAAATTATCACCTTGATATATTGGACCCTTCGAGATACGTTAGAAAATTGGAGAGGTTACGTACAAATTGGCTCTACCCCTGCAATTAGCTCGAGTATATGATGTTTTTCCACGTATCTATGTTACAAAAGTACATAATGCACCCTTCTTACATCATCAACTAGGAAGAAATCCAACTCAATGAAGACGCTACCTTTGAGGAGGGACCAATAGCAATTATGGACAGGAAATTCAACTTCTTAAGATACTATAGCATCACCATGATATTGAAGAGTTCACCTGAGAATATGAAGACGCGAGGTGGGCAAATTATTCACAACTATTTGAGACGTAAGGTACGATTTAATTTCGAGGACGACATTCATTTAAGGCGGATAGGTTGTAGAGACCCTAATTTTTGGTAATTACACTTGAAACCCTAAGCCTTAGGTTAATTGCATTTTAGTTCCAAATTTCATAAAATTTTACAAAATGGTCCAATAAAGAATAATTGCTTATGTATTTTATTTTGTATTATAATTAAATCCTAAAACACCACTTTATAATTGGAAATACCCTAAAACTTGGTTTTATTTATTACCTCCTGTTTTCGAAATTAATTCATACATTTTATTTATTTATTTAATTTTTAGCCAGTTTGAATATTAGTTATTTGAATCTTTAATTATTTATTGGAGCAAATAAATATCTTTAAATAAATATTTTTATTACTTATTTTATTCTTTATTTAAGCAAATTAGTGAAACACAAAATATCTAGATATTTATCATTTTCCTTAGTTATTAAGCAAGAGGGTAGAATGACCTTTCTAACCCAATTCATGGCCTATAAATTGAGAGTCTTACCGCAATTCCACACCCATATTTCAGTAGCCAAGGAGAGGGTGAGAGAAGGAGAGTGTGATTAGAGGGAAGTAGAGAAGAAGAGAAAAAATGAAAAGGAAGAAAATGGTGCCTTCTAGGGTCAAGGTAAGAACACTTCTTTCTCTTGTCTTCTCCAATTCTTTCACCATCCCATCCTATTGTTTAGATACCCTTTTGTGTTGCATATTAATGTTAAATAAGGTTTTGGTGTGTATGAAATGGTGGGTATGAACTAGTAACATTGTCTTGCAAATTTGTCAAATTAGGCACTGCTGTAACTTCTCTAATTTAAAAGAAATATCAAATTTATTTATTTCTCAAATCTGAATTTAGTGTAGGCTATTTGATGTGTTTAGAGCTTGTGACAATTTTATTAGCCCCTACTTGTGTGTTTTTAGGGCTTAGATATATTATTTAAAAATCTGGTCCCGAGTCTCTGAAAAACAGACCACTTCTTTCAATTTTATAAAATTCTAGAAAAATCATCTCATGTTGGTTATTTTGTCAAAATTTAGAATTTTGAGTCCTCTTTCCAACAGAATTTATTTGGGTGAAAATCATCGGGTAGATTGGGAGGAAAGCTAGTTTTCCCAAAGAGTGGCAAATCTGGACAGGTTTTCGAATATATCTTGTAAAGCAATTTCTGGAGGTGCTGTGCAAATTCTGAGAATTGGAACTGAAACTAGACAGGTTGATTATTGTTTCTGTGCAATTTCAACCCCTGATTTGACCTAGAAGTATTTTTACCAAAGTATTCTTGTTAGCCCTGCATAATTGAATAGTGCTGAAAATGGTGTTTTATTGTGTTATTTGTCTCAAAGTATTTCAAAGCATGCCTAATGTTGTTTTCTTGCCTTACCATACTTATGTATGATTATCATGGGCTATATTTCCTCTCTTATGTTTGTCTCATGCTCTTTTATATTACCGAATTACCGAGTGTGACTAACTTGCTTGGCAAAAGATCTAATAAACGGGAAGTGATAAGGGGTTGGCAATGGGTGACGTTCACATTAGTATTGTGGAATAATTTATACATATGAGTGACATGAATTATTATGGGATTAAAACTAAATGAGTTACGTCTTGCACAAGTGGTCTAAGCGAGCCCATAGGTTGACACAGATGTATTCAAACTCTATGCGGTGGTTTCAGGATGTAAGCGAGCCCTTTGGTATGGTATGTACAGGGTGTAAGCGAGCCCTAGGCACGATTTGGTATGGTATGTGTAGGGTGTAAGCGATCCTTAGGCATGATTTGGGTGTAAGCGAGCCCACTTGTTTGGCCGTCCCTTTTGAGGTCCATCAATGTCACTAACCGGTAAATAACTAGGAGGTGGGCATGGGTGGCAAGGTCTGCAAAGTAGCAAAAGGGGGAGTTCTGAATAGTCCGGTGCTCAATCCTTGTGGTTGGGTAGAAGGATCTCTTTGAGGGATTCTAAATATTTAGTCTAACTACTAATTCATATAACTATTGTATGTTATGTTACCCAATTTGTTCTGTGTATGATTGATTGGTTGATGAAAGATATGGAGTGTGAGTTTTTTTACTAGGCATTCCAAGCTCATGGCGTGTCATGCCAGGTGATGAAGCAGTTTACAATGGTGATGGTTAATTCGAAGGCAAATAAGATGAAGTGTTGGAGCTATGGTTTATTTGAAGACTTAGATTAGTTTTTTTTTTTCCTTTTGCCTTTTGGTTTGGCAATGTTTTGCTAATCTTGTAATGGAACATAAACGAATAATTTGTGATATTAACTCTGGTTATATATGTATATTAAGATATTTTGATTATCTATCCTACTTGTGTTGTATTATTGTACATATTTAATGGCCCGGAAGTTGGGGCGTTACATAGAACACCAATCACAATTGCTTAACCTATTTGCTATTTGTGAAATTTTAATTTCTCTGTCGAATCAACACTGTCAATTAAGCACAAATTAAATTTTTACTAATAGCTATGTATACATGTAACGCACCATAATAAAATACTTAGGCTCTTATAAAAATTTATATAGTTAAATTTATTGTTTTGTTTCGTGCATAGTATGAATTCATTATTAGTATCTATACACTAATATATATATATATATATATATCTATAAGAATTGAGTGCCTCTATTTACACCCCACATTTCATCTCAAGACACACTAGTATTTATTTCACACCTTCAATAATTTAATAAATAATAAATTTGTTCAATACGCACCATATTGTTCCATTTTTACCCTTAATCATATACCCCACCACTACCACCACCACCTGCAACCTAGCTCCATCGTCGGTGCTGGTGTAGCCGCTCTCCCATGCCTTTTCTTCTTCAAGCCACCATTGCGATCTGCCCTTGAGCCTCCCCCACTTTAGATATAGGGTTTCAGAGGGTAGAGATTTAGGGTTTCAGAGGCGAAGGGAAGAAGAAGAAGAAGAAGAAGAAGAATGAGGGAAAGAATGGTGGGGAAAGGGTATTGGAGGGAGGGGGCTGGAGAAGGAAACTGACAGGAGAGGTGCTGCAAGGGTGGCACTGAGGGGTGAAGAGGATGGCACGAAGCTAGTGGGGTGGCGGCGTCATCACTAGCGCCGACTAAGGTTTGCAGTGGCACAATATATCTTCCACTCCCTTCCCATCGCCACCAAAACCCCCTTTCACAAAAGCACGAGAGAGAGAGAGAGAGAAAGAGAGAGAGATGCGATTTACCGGAAGGGAAGATCGCCGAATCTAAGTTGTGGGGGAGTGCTTGCAACAGAGGGAGAAGGTGAGAGAGGCGCTGGCAGCTGTGAGAGGATGCGGGAGAGGGGTTAATAGTGGTAAGAGGTGGGGAAGTCATTGGCGGCGGCGGTGGCGGGAGGAGGAGCTGTTGGTTAGAGTTTCGGAGGGAGGAGAAAAGAGAGAAAGTAGAAGAGGATATTTTGGTAATTCTTTTTATGGACAAGATAGTAATTAAAATTTTAAAAAAAAAAATGGTGTGGGATGAGTAGATTAGTGGTGTGGAAATAGAGGCACCCCTAAGAATTGCTTTGGCTTGTCTTTTTATTCCAATTTTGCCCTCTATTTTCCTTTTATTTTACCATTAGCATGATGACTGGACAATGCACATCCACACAGACTATCACAATTATTATTTAGTCCAAAAAAATTAACTTTACTAATCCCATAATTTTTATTGTGTTTACTTAAGGGTTGGGCTTAGGAGTTTGTGGAGCCTATCATGGATCCCATTTTAATAATTTAAATCATTCATTCTGTAGGATGTTCTATGTATATGATCCATTAAAAAATTAAGTCGATCTAATAATTGTAAATTTTAATTTTGTTGTATTTTTCTTCAAATATGGGATGGCCTATATGTTGAATGAAATTTTTTTCGTAATTACGAAAACATTCTTAATCAATTATGCAACAGATTTTTCGTAATTACACAAACATTCTTAGTCAATTATGAAACATAAATCTTTTATATTTTTTAACAAATTACAAATACACCCATACGGTTTGTTTAAAATATAAATCGGTCCTATAATACCAGAAATTACAACTATCATTTGTTGTAAATTTTAATTTAACACAATGCTCATGGAGAAAAAAAAAATTCTCCTATACAATAATAAATTATCAAAATTTTTTATTAAAAAATATTTCTCATATCATTAAAAATTATTAATTGACTTAATGATTTATTTATTAACAAAATGGTTAACTGAAAAATATTTTTCATACCATTAAAAATTGTTAATTTACTTATTAATAAAATTGGTCATTTGTTATGCGTGTATGTATTAATAAAATTAGTCATTTGTTTCTATTTATTTATTAATTCAATGAATTATCTTAGTAGTTTTTTTTAGATAGGAGAATTATTTTAGTATTTGTTTTATATTATCTGTTGAGAAAATCTACACACCATTATTTTTTATGAGAAATGTTAAAAATTTATAAATTCACCCAAAATGATATGATAATAGAATTGCAGTCGACATGATTAGGTGTATAATAAATCAAAAAATAATACATATCATATCGCATAATTCTATCATATATCTAATAATTTATTCTATTCAATTTTATAAAATAATATTGTAATTTTTAAAAAATTATCAAAATATAAAATTTAAACATACTGTAATAATACGCGGGCCTGTATAAATTAGTGTATATATATATATATATATATAAGAGGGAGTTGGGTTGTGCTATAGCATGGCTCTCTTTTTTGTTTTTCCTTTTTGCCTGTCTTTTGTTTTGTATTTGTGTGTGTGTATGTGTTTTTTTTGGGCCTGGACAATTCTGTAATTTTCATATTTTGTTTATAATTTTTGTCTCTTCACTAATTATGTTTGATTGCAATTTTAGATTAGAATTTATTGCATTATCAACTAATTTGCGAAAATAAAAAAAATGAGAAACATTTTTAAGTTGTAAAATATAATTTTTCAAACTTATTTAAGACTCTTAATACACGTAGACAAAATAATTCCATTTCTTTTGTCTTAATTATAATTTTTGAGTGAATGTTAGATATTTGCACATAACGTGTAACCAAACAAGTTTAACTTATGTGTTTTTTTGTTTTTTTAAATAGAATATAAGAATTTACACCAAACAAAATTATAACTTATTTTAATTTTTTCAAACTAACAAACTAAAACGTTATAGTTATAAAAACTCGGTTACAAGTGATACCAAATTGAATCATTATCTATCAATATTTTATTTATAATAAATATGGTAGAGACCCATTAAATCACTAAAATTGTGACACATGAAATGATAATAAAGTATTGTATATAAATTTGTCATATTAACATTTATTGTTATTCAATGATGAAAAATACTAATATCCAAATATATATATATATATTGAGCTGGTTTTACAAATATTTTTAGTAAAGTTTTAAATTTTTTTTTTACTTTTTATGATAATGTTATTATTACTAGAAAAAACCTATGTATTTGACAAAAAAGAGAGCCATGCTATTGTAGCACAACCCAACTCCCTCTTACATATAAGTGCATATACATTTGGTAAAGTTTAAGTGAGTGTTGGATAGGATAATAACAAATGTTACTCAAGGAAATAAGAATTGGGATTTTTATTGATAAATCCCATTTAGAAGTGTTTTAACCCAAGAAGTCCATGAAGGAATTTTTTAACCCATTTAGTCCCATGTACGTATAGTTTTATTCCATAAAGTCATTTTTCTTGATTTACACTATTTTCTTGGACACTTATGCCTTTATATTTAATTTTGACACCCTTATAAATATTTTTTGAACGGTTAACAATTTTATGATGTGAACATTCATATTTTAAATTCACATTGGTAGGAATGTAAAATTGGCCCGTGGGCGGGCCGAAACCAGCCCGCGAGCCGGGGCGGGCCCGGCCCGTTGACAATGCGAATATTCACATTGACATGTTAACATTTACATTAATAGGAGTGTAAAATTGGCCCGCATCCCATGGCGGCGCGAACCCCGCCGGCGGCCCATGGGCGGCTCGGCCCGGGGCGGGCCCGGTCCGGCCCGTTGACAATGTGAATATTCACATTGATATGTTAACATTCACATTGATAGGAGTATAAAATTAGTCCGCTCCCCGTGGCTGCCCGAAACCTGTCCACGGCCCGTGGGCGGCCCACGGCGGGCCCGGCCCAGCTTGTTAACAATGTAAATATTCACATTGACATGTGTTAACATTCACATTGATAATAGTATAAAATTGGCCAGCGGCCCAAGGCGGGCCCGACCCGGCCCGTTGACAATGTGAATATTCACAGTGACATGTTAACATTCACATTGATAATAGTGTAAAATTGGCCCGCAACCCGTGGGCGGCTCGAAGCCCGACCGCAGCCCGACCTGTGACATTGTGAATATTCACATTGACATGTTAACATTAACATTGATAGGAGTGTAAAATTTGTCTGCGGCCCGAAGCTTGCCCGCGGCCCGGGGTAGGCCCAGCCCGGCCCGTTGACAATGTGAATATTCACATTGACATGTTAACATTAACATTGATAGGAGTGTAAAATTTGTCTGCGGCCCGAAGCTTGCCCGCGGCCCGGGGTAGGCCCAGCCCGGCCCGTTGACAATGTGAATATTCACATTGACATGTTAACATTAACATTGATAGGAGTGTAAAATTTGCCCGCTGCCCGAAGCTCGCCCGCGGCCCGGGGTAGGCCCAGAAAAAAGAAGACATTTAAAAAAAACATTTAAAAATCACAATTCACATATATAGATAATTGTAAACACAATCCGTGCATAGCACGGGTGATATGCTAGTTTATATATAAGAAAAATGAGATTTCTAATGAGAAGCGTCCTAAGAGCTCCAACTCTTATTCTAAAATTGTTGATTTTTCAATTTATAAAATAGATTGTAAAAATCTATTGGCTAATTTATTTATTTAATTATTTTCGAAATAATAATTATTCATTAATTTATGGATTTCAAACTCTCCATCGTAATATCTCTCACCAATTTTATAAAAAAAAAATTAAAACTTACATTCATTTTCTCTCCTCAAAAAAATCGGATAAAGAAAATGGGGTTTCTAACGCACAAGTCTTGTAGAAGCTCCAATATCCCAATCCTAATTTTCTAATTTTTTTGATTTAAAAAAGAAACTCAACATTTATTAACTTCTTTCAACTCACAAGTCTTTTTAACTTCTCTCATGCCTATTGCTATACACTTTCCAACTTCTCTCATATACTATGGTTAGTGATGGGATTGTTAAACTATTTTTGTAAAAAATCTTTAAAAAAAAATTTATATATTAAAAAAATATCT